CCCCAAAACCCCAAAACCCCAAAACCCCAAAACCCCGAAATTTAAAAATGTTATAGAAATATTCAAAACTAACGAATATGAACAAGTAAGCACCTCAGTCGATACCATTACAAGCAAAATTCCCCTTAATTCCATCTACTTCAATCTCCTAAAATCTCAAAACAGCTGTCAAAATCCTCTATTCAACTTCCAGATCTCTCTCAAAAATCTATAACCCCAAAAATCATTCTAAATTCTACAATAAATCCAATAAATTTCCAATTTAGCTCTATAACTCGTTATTCATCTTTAAAAACCCCAGATTGTCATCTAAATCTTATATTTAAAGATTCCTACTTATCAAATGTAATAACCTTGATTTAGCAAGAAGAAACCCAAACAAAGGCCAAGTGCAGCCCAGAGGTATATTTTCTCTCAAATTCTTTACAGATACCCTCTCCAAAAAATCTCTCTAAACATAGACTATGGTACTTCTTCTTGCTTACGTCCAGTCCACCAGCACTCAAAACTCAAATAAGCCACATTTAAAAATCCTGGCTAAACCACGTTTCAAGAGAAACGCCCAAGGCTCGAACTTAAAATCCAGAAATCTGAACTTTAAAGCTGGAAATTCAATTGAAATCTTAAAACCGTTCAAACCATTTTCCTTATAAATTGAGAGAAAGAGCAGCTAAGGTGCTATGCTCCAGTTGTAAGGATTCCTCAGAAATGAGACTCCAACAGGAATTTTACTGAAGGCATATCTGAGAAGTCTATCCTAGCTTCTCACAAGCATTCTACCCACGAAGCCCCTTTAGGGGCTTCGTGGGTGAAGAGCGAGGAGAACATGAAGAGTCTGTTCACAAATAGGCTTTTACAGAACACCTTTGGTAACTGGTTAGTTCGACACTTTAGAAAGTTAGGCATAAATATGGCCACTGGCTAATAAATTTAGAGATTTACATCGAATTAGTGAAGTATTTATCAGATTATCATAAATGTTATTAAGCTTATTGTGAATAAATCTGCTTTGAGGCATAAATGTATATAAAAAGTTGTCTTACGACCTTGAAGCTCATAATTGAGTATAGATTTAAAAAACGAACCAAGACCGCTGGTGGCAAATCTGAACTTGAAAATTCCTTCTATCCCAACATTAACCGTAAATTCCTTATGTGACTGTCTAGACCTCTCAAACTGCAGAGGGATGTCTCTTTTCTAGAAAAGTTATCATGACCGAATCGGAGTCTCAAGATAACATTGAATGCCCTAGTCCTTATGATACTTTCTGTAGGAAGAACACCACCCAGCAAGACCTCTTTGAAAGTGTCTACAAGCTCCGAGGCAAGTTCCATAAAAAGAATACCTTAATGAGCTCGAGGATAAAACACAGAACCAGGAATCTTAAAGGAATCACAAAAGCTAGAACAACAGTCGATCCTTTACTTGGGAATAATATTGCTTCCTTAAAACCGTAAGTCGACATATCTCTTTTTGGCACAGTTCGTAGAGATCCCACATGGTGATAAAGATGATCCCAATTAATTTATATCCTGACTACTTGAGACTAAATAGAACAGAATTTACGAAATTATGCATCTATTTAGAACAACAAGGACCCTTGCCAATGTCAGTATTGTGGATATGAACACAACTCCTCGTGAAATGATAGGTAAAACACCTCCAAAGAACATAAAAACCTGGGTCAGAAAGCTATCTTGTAGAGGGTAAGATCTTTTCTCATAAAATAGCCCATCAAAAACACTTGCATTACAAAAGGTACAGATAAAGAAGACAGCTAGAATGGGACTGAAAAGTAGGAGGCATCCCAAACTTAGGATTTATAATTCGAAGTAAGATTACTGAAGTGGCTTTTGAGGGGGAGGAGGGGTGGTAGGGTGGTTAGGATGAGGCGGTTGAGAAGGGAGTGTAAGTTTGGTGATGTCAAAATGTGGGATTTTTAGGGGTAGATTCATACCTCAGCACATAAAAATTTGAGATATGTATTCTGAGGGCTAGTAATATTCTAATTAGAGCAATTAAGCAACTTTCAAGTCTCAAAACTAAGTAGGGGTTTTGGGGTTTTGGGGTTTTGGGGTTTTGGGGTTTTGGGG